TGCAAGAATGTTAAAATTCTCATAATTTTTGAGAAGTTCCTAGTGAGGGGGTGTTGTTGTTTGAAAGTCTCTGTATATCATCTTTACTGATCTGTTGAAAAGTCACAAATGATGTTGGGCAAATCATAGGAAATAAGAGATTGCATGGTTATAATTTTGTATCATAAAATGTTGATCTTTTGTTAATTGAAGTCCATCCTCATGAATTTCATCTGTAAAGAATCTCAAGTCCTTCTCTGTTTTAATTCATTGCTGAGGACAGCAATGTTCAAATCTGGGAATTGTGATGAACCCTTAGTTCATCAGGTTTTTAAGCATGAATTAATATCAATTTGTGTGATTAAATGGATGGAAAAGAGGTTAATGTCCTGGAAATCTCTCAAATACAAGTTCTGAACCTTATGTTGAAAATTTACATTGTTTTTGTAGGGAAATGAAGCTCAAGAAGCAAAAGAGAGAAGGAAGAAGATTCTGAAGAATGGGAAAATTCTAAGTGTTGGGCGCTAAAACGCCCAAAACTGAGCGTTTTAGCGCCCTGTTGCACAAAAGATGCTGGTGCTGAACATTAAAACGCCCAAAACTGAGCGTTTTAGCGCCTGAACATTAAAACGCCCAAAACTGAGCGTTTTAGCGCCCAAGACAGTTAAAAGCAGTTGGGCATCCGTCAAGGTTGAGCGTTAAAACGTCCAGAAATGAGAGTTTTAGCGCCCATGTCAGTTTTCAGTTGTAATTTTTAAATTATAAAAGGACAAGGGGCCTTCACATTCTGACAGATTCCAGATATCAGATCCAATCTATCATATCTCATTCTGACTTTTCCCATCACACTAGGAGAAGGGAGATCAGATCAGGTCTTTCATAGATCTGATCTGACTCCTCATTTTCTCTGAATTTCCAAATTCTTTAGGATTAGTTCTTGTAATAGTTAGTATACTTTCATGTAATTGTACTTGAAGATTGAAGACTCAACTATCATGACAATGGAGTTTGATCTTTCTTCTTCTTCTCTTGTTATTATTTGTATTATGTCTGAGTAGAGTCCTTTGTAGTCTGATTCAATGGAACTCAAGTTTGAATTTATGAATGGTTAATTAGATGTTTTGTTTATCTATTATATGATTGTATGATGTTGTCTTGATTAATTCTTCATGTTGAGGAATAGTGTAGAACAGACATGTTTACATTGTTTCTCTATTTTTGACAACTTCATCATCAGTGTTCTAGTAGTCAAGGGATTGATGCTAGGATTCTGATGTGATCTTAAGACCTTAGTAATTAATGCATGTATTAAGAAAGGAATCACCAAGGGATTGGGGTTTCTGATTAATGTGTCTATCAGGGTAGTAAGGGATTACATCTTGAGATGATAAGAAAAAGGTTGATCAACATCACATAGTAGATAATTCATAATGGAAATTGGTTAATCTATAAATTCATGTTTGAGGGAAAATGACATTTGACTACTTGTTTACATTATAATTTACATTTTATTTATTTATCAAGTTTTAATTCAATTCAGTGTAGTTTCTGGTGACAAGAAATCTATGCAATCTATGAACTTTTGTTTGATTCAACTCAAGTACATATAGTTAGTCAGTGCTTGACACAAATCCTCGTGGGAACGATCTTTACTCATCATTTTATTACTTGTACGACTAGTGCACTTGCTAAACGTCCAACAGGAGGAGTGATCAGAAATGCTTCTAGATGTTGGATCATGGGTTTTTTTTTCCAGAATTTGGGAATGAGATCTTCTACTAGAGCAAAATCGTGGGGTTTCCTTAGTGGTATTGAGATGGCCTGGGCCTTGGGTATTAAGAGGTTATGGATAGAATGAGACTCTCTAGTTGCTATTATCCTTATTGAAAAAGGCTGTGACAGACAACATCCTCTTGCTTCCCTAGTCAATAGAATTGGAGAGATGTTGAGAGGTCAGTGGGTGACAAAGATAAGTCATACATTCAGAGAAGGCAATATGGTTGCTGATAAGTTAGCTAGTGTTGGGTATTCTTTCTCTGATTAGAATTTACATGTGCTAAATGAGGAACCTAAGGACTGTATTCCCTTGATTAGAAAGGATGTTATGGGTGTTGCTGTTGTTTCTTAATTTCCATTAGTATTTCAATTTATATATATGGTAAAATCATTTCTGCAGCCGCTTTACGTACAACAACGACAGGTGTATGGTTATGATTTTCCGCATTTAATACTTTTATCCTTTGTATGGTATGATTCTTCGCATTTAATGCTTTCAAGTATATATATGGCAAGTATTTGATTGTTGCACGTACAACAGCTGCAGAAATGTAAACCCCTATATATATATATATATATATAACATGTGTAGTTCAAAAAAGAAAAGAAAAATATAACATGCCACCAAAGACAACACTAATAGGGATAACCAGCTTAAGCTGCCGAGCACTAGCAATAATTAGAGAAGTTAAAAATGCTTTGAGCTTGAACTTAAATTTCATACGAAAATAGACACAATGATCTTTTTAAGATTTGCTTAAAATATATAAGAAACGAAGAAATTATGACAATTTAAAATAATTTTTCATAAATTTAAAAAAAAAAAAAACCAAAAGACAATACGAAGTAACTGCAGCATCATTTATCTTTGGGTGAGACAGGAGCAATTATTCTAGCTCTGCAGGGCCACTTAGAATGCATAATGACCGGAGAATACCAAATCCGTCAATAACTTTGTATAGATTAGATAAATTAAATATAATATAGCATGAAAATAAGGTATTGTGTTATAAGAAGGGTGTCTACAGAGAAAGGTAGCATTCAAGTAGGCTAGAGAAAGACGTGAACCGGTTTGGTCAAGAGAATACTGTGGTGTTTAAACAGGTTTAGTAAATGCAGCTATTGTACACATGTTGTTAGCAGGGGAGTAGTTAGTTGATATGTTGCTAGTCGATTGGTTAGTTTGCTAGGGATTAATTACGTGAAAGTAAAGGAAGTGTGTAGAGCAAATTCTATAAAGACCCAAATGTATATTCATTGTTGGCATCTGAATAATGAAAAACAATTTCGTTCTCTTTTGTTAACCCATTTTCTCTATTCTTGATACCATTACGTATAAACTGGTGCTTCCATTTCGAGTTGAATCTCAAGATGAGAATTCAAGAAGTGGCTGATGAGCTTCGATCAGAATTTCAACAGGAAGTAGCTTCAATGCGTGCTGATCTGACCCAGAAGTTAGATAAATAAACGGAGTTTGTTTTAGCTATTGATGTGCGACTGCAAGAGTTCATGAGCCAATCTCAGCAGCATACCTAGACCCCTCGATAACCCATACCCATCTCAATCAGCTCCAAACATCAATCCTCAAACTCAGACCAAAAACATTCCATCCTTTCAACAGCAAAACTAGTGCAGAGCATGGCCACCATGGATGCTCATCTCCAAGAAGATTCATCATTTGGTGCAAAAACAGAGCAAAAATTAGTGTAGAGTACTTCAAGAATGGATGATTGGAATCAAGAACCCATTGTTGTCTCATCCTCTGCCTATGCCATTTTTCAAGATTCATCTTATGGTGCTACCATAGAAAACAGAGCAACCAAAAGGCTCTTTCATGTGTAACAAGATCTCACCCTAAATGTAGTCTCCAACACTTCATTCTCTTAAGCATAGGATTTTTCCTGCCACACAAAACACAAAGTCATTATGTGTAGCCACCAACACTTTGTTTCAGTCACCGGAGCATGCAAATTTATTAATACAATTTCTTTTTCGAGTCCTCTATCTCAAAATGTTAAAAGTTTCATGTGTGAACCAAGTCTGAATTTTTGCATCTTGATGAACCTAGATAGTGGCGTAAATGATGACCTCTTGGTGAGTTTCTTCATCTTTTGGGCAAATTTTTTGCCAACAGTTGATGATCATTATGATGTAGGATGCTTTATTTAGGATCAAAGAGGACCCTCATTTTTTAGGACAAGGTCATTCATCAACTAACTTGCCTCCACTTTATGAGTATAGTTGATCTCAAGGTTTCTCCCCACTTGGACCTTGAGGACAAGGTCTCTTTTGAAAGGGTGAGTGGTTTTACGAGAAGGGTGTCTATAGAGAAAGGCAGCATTCAAGTAGGTTAGAGAAAGACGTGAACCAATTTGGTCAAGAGACTACTGTGGTGTTTAATTAGGTTTAGTAAATGCAGTTATTGTACACATGTTGTTAGCAGGGGAATAGTTAGTTGATATGTTGTTAGTCGATTAGTTAGTTTGTTAAGGATTGATTATGTGTAAGTAAAGGAAGTGCATAGAGCAAATTCTATAAAGACCCGAATGTATATTCATTGTTGGCATCTGAATAATAAAAAACTATTTTGTTCCCTTTTGTTAACCCATTTTCTCTCTTCTTGATACCATCACGTATCATATTGATACATAATTCATAACATTAGAAAAACAATAAAGTTTTTAGGTTTAATTTTTTCCACAAACTTAAGATAAAGTTATCTTACGCAAACATGGACAAGGAAATGTGTGGAGTTAGGTGAGAAAAAAGAAAAGTCATCCATTCTCCTTATATATGTATAGGGTAATAGTTTTCTTATGTAGTAGGAGATAATAATTATCTCCTACGGACTCATTTGATAAGTGGGGTCCACTTTCAAGGAAAGAGAGAGATAAAATAAAGTGGGACCCATCTTGAATTTGTGTGTGTAGGAGATAAGTTTTTTCTTATGTAACATAAGACTATGATACAACACGTAGAACATCCAACCGCTTAGGTGGAGCACCAGCCTGGGCACGTGACTTCACATGAATCAGAGAATCGATCAACTCTCTGAATCTTTGGAGCTTCGCTTGACGAATTTATTTGAAGCTCGATTCAATACCTTAGAAAACACACCGAGGGAGTTTGCGCATCAAGGAGCACACCATGTTCCTCCGGCAAGTTCTCACAGCTAACCGCGTACATAATCCCATATTGGGGGTAATGCCGTGCATGATCAGCGCGCAACATTGAAGTTTATCAAGATGGAAATTCCATCGTTCGATGGCCAAAATCCTCATGTTTGGCTGTTTAAATCAGAGCTATTCTTCAACATGCAACTCATTCCTGAAGAATTCAAGATTCGATTGGCAGGATTAAAAATGGAAGGTGGTGCAGCATCTTGGTTCCAGTGGGTGCATGCAGGTGGGACGGTGCAATCTTGGGATGAATTTGCCCAAGCTGTTTGCCAGAGATTTGGGGGCACTGCCTATATGGATCTTCGAGGTGTACTCTCTAAGCTTTCACAATCAGGTTCATTACAAGATTATGTGAAAGAGTTTGAGGAACTCATGAATCAGGTACCTGGTTTAGATGATAGCATGCTTTTTAGTTTTTTTGTGTCTGGGTTAAACATGGAACTCTGTAGCGTGATACAAGTTCACTGGCCTGCCAATCTCCAACAAGCAATGCAGTTGGCTTTTGCTTATGATGCTTATCACCAAGAGCTTTGTTCACCTTTTTATGGCCAATCCAAGAAACACAGATGGAAGAATAATGCACACCCGACTTCAACATCCTCAACCATGTTACAGAACAATGCCAATCCAAGTGCACCTTTGTTACCAACTCCTCCTTCGTTACCAATTAAGAAGCTATTACAAGAAGAACTTAAAAAGAAACGTGAGCTAGGCTTGTGCTATACATGTGAGGAGAAGTGGACCATGGGCCATAGGTGCAAGTCAAGGATGTTGCTCTTGATTGCTGAACCTGATGATGATGGTGTTGAAGGAGAAGAAGAAATAGTTTGGTGTCCCGAATCAAATAATGTCTTTCCACAGGAAGGCCTCTTGAATTCCTTATCCATGCCAAGTAATAACCAGATAATGCAGCTGGAAGAAATGATCAGGAACAAGATGGTAGGAGTTCTTGTCGATTCTGGAAGTTCACACAACTTCATACAGAAGGAATTGGCATTGGAGCTTGGAATTCCTTTAGTGCAAACAAAATGTATGAAGGTGGTGCTAGGTAATGGTCAGTTTTTATTATGTAATACAAAGTGCTGTGATGTCTCATTAGTCATTCAAGGGAAAGAATTTGTGGCTGAGTTGTGGACATTGGACCTTAAAAATCTTCAAGTCATTTTAGGCATGCCATGGTTAGAGTCATTGGGGAGGGTCACGCATGACTATAAAAATTTGACTATGGAGTTTGCTTTTAATAAAGAACAAGTGATGTTGCATAGTTGCAACACAATAGCAGCAAAGCAAACCTCTTGTTTCTTGATATAGCAAGATACCATCCCTCATCAAGCAGTCAATGCTGAATTGTGCACACTGGCAGACAAGGTTCCTAAAGAATTGTGGGAAGTTTTGATGAAATATCATAGAGTATTCGAAGTTCCAAGAAGTCTGCCACCTTCTAGTGAAATTGATCATTCAATTCACCTGATTGAAGGTTCCAAACCAGTCAATGTGAAGCCTTACCGCTACCCACACTTCCAAAAAGCAGAAATAGAGAAGCAAGTGAAGGAATTGATGTCAACCGGATTTATTCAAGAGAGTAAAAGCCCATATTCTTCCCCTGTTCTGTTAGTGAAGAAGCATGACAATACATGGCGTATGTGCATCGACTACAGGGCATTAAATGCAATAACGATAAGGGACTATTTTCCTATCCCTACTATAGATGAACTCTTAGATGAACTTTGTAATGCATGTCTTTTCTAAGTTGGATTTGTGTGCTGGCTATCACCAAATTCGATTAAATAAAGACGACATCCCAAAGACAGCGTTTAGAACATATGATGGTCATTATGAATACATTGTAATGCCATTCGGTCTCACAAATGCCCCATCTACCTTCCAGTCAACCATGAATAATATCTTCAGACCATTTTTAAGAAAATTCATCATTGTTTTTTTTTATGATATTCTCATTTACAGTAATTCTTTACAAGAACATATACAACATTTAGAAATTTCTCTCAATTGTTTAAGTACTCATGAATTTTTTGTCAAACTAAGCAAATGCTCTTTTGCTGTTGATGAAATTGACTACTTGGGTCACTTGGTATCGGGTTTGGGAGTGAAATCCGATCCTGCTAAAGTGGCTGCAATGGTTCAATGGCCACGCCCTCAAACAGTGAAGCAACTTCGTGCATTCCTTGGACTCACAGGATACTATAGGCGTTTTGCAAAAGGGTATGCATCTATAGCTACTCCTCTCACCAATTTGCTGTCACAAGAAGCATGGCAATGGTCAATTGAGGCACAGGTTGCATTTGAAAATCTCAAGCAATCCATGACCTCAACACAGTGCTAGCTCTACCTGATTTCTCCTTGCCATTTTGTGTGGAGACTGATGCATCGAACTCAGGAATTGGAGCAGTTTTGACTCAAAAAGGAAAGCCAATTTCCTTTTTCAGCAAGAAGCTTGGCCCTCGGCTGGCAGCTGCCTCCACCTATATTAAAGAATTCACAGCCATCATTGAAGCAGTTAAAGAATAGAGACCATACCTTCTAGGGTCTCATTTTGTTTTGCGCACAGATCATAAGAATAAGAGCATCAAGGAAATTTTGTCACAAGTTATCAACACTCCAGAACAGCAGAAATTTGTTTCCAAATTGATGGGATACTCGTTTTCCATTGAGTATAAACCTGGGAGTTTATATTCGGTAGCTGATGGGCTGGCTGTCTAGAAAACATGATGGTGAGGCAGTTTGTAATGTGGGTTTGTCAAAAGTCTCATGGAACCTGATAGAGCTGATACGAAAGGAAAATGAGACAACAGTTGATCTGGTAGCTTTGCATGCGAAATTGAATAATGGTGAGTTGATAGATGGTAACATTTCTCAGAAGGATGGCATTTTATTTCATAAACAGCGATATCTTTTGAGTTCATCTTCCCCTTTAAAAAAAAAATTACTGGAAGAGGCTCATTCTTCTCTAGTTGGAGGTCATGCTGGATCCTTGCGCACATTCTTGAGATTATCCGCGTCGTTTTACAAGCCCAAAATCAAAATGGATGTCAAGCATTTTGTTCAACAATGTGTTGTATGTCAGTCAGTCAAAACACAACATCTCCACCAGCTGGTCTCCTTCAACTGTTGCCTATACCTGAACCTGCTTTTGATGACTTGACCCTTGACTTCATAACAGGCTTGCCATTATCAAAAAGATTTTCTGCAGTTTTAGTGGTGGTAGATAGACTAACAAAGTATGCACACTTTGGAGCTCTGCCATCAGCCTTCGCAGCAGCTATAGTTGCTCAATTGTTCATTGAGATCATCGTGAAATCTCATGGATTCCCAAGGTCCTTGGTTTCTGACCGTGACAACATATTTCTGAGCTAATTTTGGCAGAGTCTTTTTCGTCTCAGTGGCACGAAGTTGCACATGAGCACAACTTACCATCCACAATCAGATGGTCAAACTGAAGTTACAAATTGCTATTTAGAACAGTACCTGTGAGCTTATTGTTATGAGCAACATGCTTCGTGGTCTTCTCTTCTTCCATGGGCTGAGTTTCATTACAATTCAGCAGTACATTCATCAATTGAAATGTCACCATTCCAAGCACTATATGGTCGTCTTCCACCGTCCATTCCCCACTATCCGCGTGGTCTATTGAAGCTGGAAGCAGTTGACACTATACTTGCTGATCGTTCCACCATGTTGATTTGCCTCAAGCAGAATTTGATGAGGGCTCAAAACATAATGAAGAACCTTGCAGATAGAACACTGCCATGATCGTTCATTCAATATAGGGGACTATGTGTTAGTAAAGTTGCAGCCTTATCGCCAAATATCAGTGGCCAAACGTTCCAGCCACAAACTGGCAAAACGTTTCTTGGTCCATTTCCAATAACAGCAATGGTAGGACCTGTAGCTTACAAAGTTCAACTTCCGGAAGGATCTCGTATCCATCCCGTATTTCATATTTCGGTGCTGCAGAAATTCCATGGTGATCCATCAGCATCTACTCTTTCATTGCCATTGGAATCCATAGACAATCGTCTTGTACAACAACCAATAGTCGTACTCGGAAGCAAAATGGAGCAAGGCAGACACAAGAACCAACGTAAGTTTTTGGTTCAATGGTCGCAAGTTGTCCTTGAGGATACAACATGGGAGTTTGAAGGTGAGCTGAGAAGGGCATATCCTCATATAGACATTGAGGACAAGGTCTCTGTCGTTGGGGAGGGCAATGATACAACACTTAGAACATCCAACCGCTTACGTGGAGCATCAGCCTGGGCACGTGACTTCACATGAAAATGTAACGTGGCAACTAAAGCGGTCAATCCCTTGGAACGTGTTAAACGGTTGTTAGTTAGTTAGAGTAATACTCTTTCGTGTAAGGAATAACATGTATAAATATACAGAACTGAGATGTAAACAAGGACAGATGAAATAAAACGATTCTTTTCTCTTTTCTTCTCAAATCTTCCTTTGTCTCCTTTCTCTGCAACCCTAGGTTGCAACAGACTAATAAATCCCATATATATATATATATATATATATATATATATATATATATATATATATGGTAAAATCATTTCTGCAGTCGCTTTACGTACAACAATGATAGGTGTATGGTTATGATTCTCCATATTTGATGCTTTCATCCTTTGTATGGTTATGATTCCCCGCATTTAATGCTTTCAAGTATATATATGACAAGTATTTGATTGCTGCACGTACAACAGTTGCAGAAATGTAAGCCCATATATATATGTGTGTGTGTGTGTGTGTGGTAGGATATTGTAACAATCAATTAGGGTTACTACTAATATTACTATCAATCAATTTCACCGTTAGATCGATTATTTGATCTAACGGTTATATTTACTTCCATCTTTGTATGGTTATAATCTCCCATATTTAATACTTTATATTTATTTTCACCTTTCATATTTAATGCTTTCACATTAAATATGGACAATCATAATCATACAAAGATGAAAATAAATATAATCGTTGGATCAACATAATCGATCTAACGGTAAAATTGATTGGTAGTAACATTGGTAGTAACCCTAATTGGTTGTTACAATATCCTATTCCTATATACACAAAATAACTTCATCTCTAAGTTGATGGCGAAATATTAATCCCAACTTTTCTTTTTATATTTCACAACATTTATATGAAAGAGTTTAGTTATTATTCTTCTCATAAAGAGAGCACTTAAATTTTACATACATTTTACCATTTACCAAGTTTTTAAGCTTTATCTCAAAACGTACGAAGTATTAGAACTAACATAAAAGTACACTATTTTGGCAACCATGCATCACTTCACTTGGATGGAAGAACAAGAGAACCAGATAAATTAATTACCTGGTAGCCCTTGTATGTGATCAATTCTTTTAACCGTTTTACAACATACATGAAACCCTCATTGTCAAAATACCTGAGTTCCTCTGTGCCCTTAACCACCCATCCCTCAACAATCTGATTTTTTCATTCAGCAATACCAAGAGTTGGCAACTCATCCAGAGACACACACAGACCTGGAAATCAGAGATGGGCTGCTGTTAAAAAAAGGGAAATTATTGTTGGATTTTACTTCACCCTTGATTCCTTAGATTTTATATGAAAACCATGCAACATTATCAAGTGGTCATTCAGGAATCCAGAAAACCATGGCTCGCACAGCTGCAAATTTTACTTGGCCCGGACAGAAGCACGATGTTCAGAAATTTGTCAAATCTTGTGTCACCTGCCAACAGGTTAAGTACTCTACACAAGCACCAGCTGGACCACTACAACCCATCCCCGTTCCTGAGAGAATTTGGGAGGATGTGTCCATGGATTTTATCACTGGTCTTCCAATGTCTTATGGTTACACAACAACCCTGGTTGTAGTAGACCGCTTGTCTAAACAAGCCCACTTTGGGGTTTTGCCTCGCAAATATACTGCTGCAAAGGTTGCAGACCTCTTTACCCAAATGATTTGTAAACTACATGGTGTGCCTCGATCAATCATATCTGATCGCGATCCTATTTTTCTTAGTCGCTTCTGGACAGAGCTATTTCAGCTTAGTGGTACTTGCCTACGTCTCTCCACTGCCTATCATCCACAATCTGATGGCCAATCAGAAGTGGTCAATAGAGTCTTAGAGCAGTACTTTCGCTGTTTTGTTGCTGATTTTCCTCACAGATGGTCTAAAATTCTTCATTGGGATGAACTGTGTTACAATACTTCTTTTCATGTCTCAGCAGGTATGTCTCCCTTCAAGGTTGTTTATGGGAGGGAACCACCTTCCCTTTTAGACTATGTCTCTTCTCCTGCTGTTTTTGTTGAAGTTGATCAAGTCTTAAGGGATCGACAAGCCATTCTGCAGCAATTAAAGGAGAATTTGCAGAAAGCACAGGGTGTCATGAAGAGCACAGCTGACAAACACCGAAGAGATATACATTATGCAGTTGGTGATTTGGTTTGGGTACACTTACAGCCTTATCGTCAATCTTCTGTCTCAAGCAGGGCTTCTTTTAAGCTGTCCAAACGTTATTTTGGACCCTTTGAAATTCTGAAACGGGTAGGCAAAGTTGCCTATATGTTGAAATTACCAAGCCATGCTAGAATACATCATACATTTCATGTTTCATTGCTGAAACCGTACCAAGGAGACTTGGATATCACTCCTTTTCCCTTGCCCGAAGTATTCACCAGCAATTTGCCAGTGCTGGAACCAAAACTCATATTAGCAACCCGTTGGAATGAAGACAGCACCCCATCAACAGCAGAAGTTCAGGTCCTTTGGGAGGGGATATTCCCTGATTTTACTACATGGGAAACTTGGGATGACTTTCTGCATCAATATCTTACCTTCAACCTTGAGGACAAGGTTGTTTCTAATGGGGCAGGTATTGATATGAGCCTAGGCCCATCAAGCACAACAAGCAGCCCAATAGATATTGACCCATCAAACAGTATATTAGAGAACCAAGCCCAAGAAGCAATTCCAAACAGAATCGAGAACCTTCAGCCAAGGACGCTACCAGCGGTGCTTAACAATGAAAGGGGATTGAGTGAAGTTGACCGAGACTTAACAGAAGAAGACGAGAGATCTAGAAGAATAAGGAAGAGACCATCACGATTTGAAGAGGAAGGATACGATTGGACAACAAGATGATCTTGTACACAAAGTAGTAGAGAATACTGTATAGGTTGTATACTTTCAGTTACATTGTTGCATGTTGGTATAAAAGGGAAAGATAACTAATGTATAGTTTTGTTGAATATTGAAATAAAATTTCCCTCTTCTTTCTCCCCAATTTTCTATCTTCTCTTCTCATCTCTACTTGTCTGATAGGTTTCATCCTATCATCGACACTAACACTCTTCGACATCCATAATATTTGAAATTTCATTACATATCATAAAAAAATTGATCGATGTTTTACCAAACTGATATAATAAAAATTAAAAATAGACACCGAATAAATATAACTGGAGTGTATAAGAGATTTTCAATTTGAAAATATAATAGTAAATATTT